TTAGCATACCAAACCCATGCCTGCCTCCAGGTTCCCTCAGAGTCACAAGCACCTGTTAACGTTCCTTCACAGTACATACTAGCTAGCCTCCTAGCTCTCTCATTTCCTCCTCTACCTTAAACTCCACCCAGCTCATGGGCTTCCCCTGCTATTCCTCAATATTCTCTCCCAGGCTCCCTTCCACCAGCCTAAACTCTGCTGTGGCTGGCCATGTTCATTCTACTTCTTTCTGTCTTTGCTCTGGGTTCCTCCAGATGCCTCTGGCTGCTCTCTCCCTCATATCTACAATAAAAATCTTCCCATAGTCTCACCATGAAGTGGTCATATTGGTTATATTATCAGTTTACACAGTGTTCTCTTTCTATTGAACTATTTGGGTACATGCCATAATTGGAAAGATTGAAATGTTGGCCTGTTTGTGGCTCTGCTGAGCCATTTCAGATAGAGAAACAAGGGTGTTAAAAAGACCTTTATTGTCATTTAAGTGTGGCTGGAGGTTTCTCGTCTCACTTACCAGTATAACCACTCTAAGACTTAATATTAATTATAATTGTTTACATATAGTTCTGGTATATTACTGACTAGCTCTTCTCATAATTCAGTTAACCCATTTCTATTATTTTATATTTTACCAAATGGCTTGTTACCTCACATCTCGATTCCCTGGCAGCTACATGGCATCTCCCTGACTCTGCCTTCCTTCTCTCTGTATGTTTGTTTGGATTTCCCATCTTGATCTATTCTACTTGGCCATTAGCCAAAAAAGATTTAAGAATTGTCTTACAAAACATTTTCTAGAGAGAAATCATACTGTATTTACTTATTTATTGTCAGCATAACAAAAATAAGAACATAACAATATGTTGGCTCAATGCACAGAAAATTTCTAAAGTGACTTTTGCTAGGTAAATTTAAAGGATCAACTTTAGGATTAGTCTGTAGACTGAGAAACTGTACATGATTTCTGAGCTTTAACCCATATTCACTATGTGTGGGTTTTTATCAGGGCTGAGATAGGCTGATTTTGCTGTTAGAATAATTGCTAACAGAAAGTGATGCTGAGATCAGATACTTTAATACTAAAATTTTGTGTGTATGTGGACTGTAAAATTATCAGGAGTTTGTTTTTGAGATGATTGCTTATATTTTCTACTAATTTTTGTCTTGTGTTTGAGTACTTAGGAAATCACATCTTAACAAAATTGAGGTTCATTTAAGTTTTGTCTATGTTGGCATTTTTAAATGATCACTTTTCAAGCAACATACAATAATTTATTGTGTTTAATTCTTTATGGACTTATGACTAGAAATGTACAAAACTCTATGCCTATACTTTATATATGTTGACCAGTTAAAGACATGTAAGTTATTTGTTTTTGAGACGAGGTTTTGCTCTGTATCTTTAACTGGCCTAGAACTTGCTATGTACACCAGGTTAGCCCATTCATCTGTTTCTGCTACCAAGTGATGAGATTAAAGGTGTTTACTACCATACCCAGTAGTATATAAGTTTAATACATGCAAAGAATAATTACATGCTATTTATTCAGCATGCATTATGTTTGGACTTTCAGTATATCAAATGAACAATAAATCCTTTTGACACTTGTTCCCTTTTTAAAATCAGTACCATTAAGATACAAAGCCTACCATTTGAGCAATCTTGCTATTTAAGGCCTTAGGAATAACTTTAAAACTAGGTGTCTGGACTTTCATGGTGGAAATGGGTTGGATCTATCCTTCAGTTTCAGTTCATCTCCTAAATGATGTTAGGGCTATCTCTTCAGAGGGAAGGATGATACTGTGGTCCTGAAGACATCAGGGCTCTGCTGAAGTCTAGCAAGACAAAACTATTTGCTCCTGCTCAAAAGAATGGAATCTGCCTCTAGTCATGAGTTGAGATATGACATACCATTGTCATTGTCTCCTCCCTTGAGAGTTAATTTTAGGCTAGGCTCGGGAGTTAATGGTGCTTGCCTCCAAGCCTGAAGATCTGAGTTTGGTCCTGTGTGATAAAAACAGAGAACAGACTCAAAAAAGTCTTCTGCTCTGCATGTGTGCAGTGGCATGTGCACATGATCAACTCTATACACCATGCAAAATAAACCAGTAAACTAATCAATAAATGTGATTTTAAAATTTATCTGGGAGTACTAATCACTTGGCTAATCACCCATGCAATGGACCCTGTCTCAGGAAGACTACTAATTCACCTGAAGCCACGCTGAAGAGATGAGACGAATAATGATCACTGTCATGATACAATGTACTTTTTCCCCTCCAGAAATGGACAGTGGCCAAACTGCAGGCTTCCTCTTTCTTTCTAAGAAGGAGCGCCCGGCCCCCTCCACCTTCCCATGAAGCTGCTTGCCCTCCATGGGGCTGAACCTCCTTTGCTGAACACGGGAACCTCACTCTACAGTGTGGCTTCTCTCTTCATCTCCTCCACCTCTCCTTTGTGGGCAGATGCTAAGATTTCCAGCTTAACTTCCTCATTGTTTTTCTTTTAAACTCTTATCAATTATTTTCTCAATCTTCCTTTGGAGTCTTAAATTCTCTCATTAATGTGACTAAGAACCCAGAGAACCACAATTTCCTTGGCAACATATGGCAACCCAGATAGGATTTCCTAAACTTCTGGCAGTTCTAATTCTGGTAGTTCCTAATAGTTGCCAGCTCTTTTATATGTATTTATGACTCTCACATTATATAAATCTTCTGTTAGATTTCTGAGGCAGTGTATAAAGATAGAAAGTAGAAAGGACAGGCACCCTCCCATGGGAAGAAAACCCTAGCTGAGACTCATTACAGAGGTATGGGGGAGGTCTTGGAAATGAGGATGCTGATAGAGTTTTGGGGGCTACCTGTGAGTCTGTGGTCTGTCTTTCCTGGAATTGTCAGTAAGACAATTTATCTTGGGAGAAAGGCTGTCGCTGCAAACAGTCCTTGTCATCTCGTAGGAACCCTGGCTTTACACGGCAGTCTATTGCCTTCTACAGTTTAAAGAGCAGAAGGACACTTTTGATATTCTTCAAGCTGATATTGTTGGTAGTACGGTGCTTTTCCAGGTCTGGGCCCACACATTCCCAGTTGTATTATGATTAGTCACACTAAACATGTAGAGTTAGACACACCCTAACATTGTGAACTCCAAACAGTGCCTTAGAATAAATTAAAAGATACTGGACATTGACTACCTAAGAAGTACATCTGTAAACAGGTGTGAAACTACTCTTAAGAGGGAATTGGGTCTGTTTCCTTGGCTCTCAGTAATTGGAATTTCCCCCAGAAAGCTCAAACTGTCAGAAGAAAAAGGCTAAAGCCTGGTGCCAGGCAGAGGAGGAACTTGTTTCCAGGAAAGAGATTACACATGTCAGGTCACCTTCGGGGAGACGATTAACACGTCACTCTTGGGCAAAGACTACCTTGATGGGGACTTCTTAGTGCCAGCCTCTTTTGCCCTCTATTAAAACCAAACATCATGTCGGGAACCCAGAAATCTTCTCCCCCTGCTTTTCAGTATGGCTTATCTAGGCATAGTGAGGACAGGTGTCTGAGCCTAGCTTGTCAGGGCTGCCAGAGCCCAGGAACTGGCCCTGACAACTCTAGTCACAAGCTACTTACTAACAGATTTTTAGTCAATTACTAATGCTTTTCCATAAAAAATTCTATCATATGCGCATAGAAATAATTTTGCTTTCTCAAGTCCACCTGGGTATCCTTTATCGTATAACTCCACTGGATAGAGCCTACATGGGGGCGTTGTAAGATCAGGGCAACAACATTAGGTTTTGACTAAGAAGTGAATTGCTGCCTGTGGATGCTATCATTTCAAGGCATCTCCCTCCACTCCTGTTTTGGTGTCTGTTTTTAAAATGAAAACATGTTGCCTTAGTCTCATACTGCTTTTGTCTATTGAAATGGTCTATATGGCTTTGACCTTCAGCCTATCATACTAAATAATGTTGAAATTAATCCTTTTTGTTTTTCTTTCTGGAGTTAATTCTACTTTGCAAATCCATGCTTCAAATTATGATGTGTATTCTAAAATGACCAACCCTCTCATTTCTCTGAGATAACCCCCCACTTCCAACAGTGTTCATTACATTGAAGCCCACTTAGGGGCTGATTGTGAAAGGAATCCACCTTTCTATCTGCGCTGTTGGCGTGCTGGCTCCTCTTCCAGTCTGTTACTTTTTAGCTTCTGTCTTAAGGAATTTCCATTTGTAAATGAAATCAGAAGGCGGTTCTGTAAGGTGCACTTGACAAGAGTGGAGTGCTACCACGGCAAGACAGAAAATGACACACGCTGTGGCCCTGTAAGCATGGCTCGTTTGTTGTTGTTATTTGTTTGTTTTTTGTTTTTACGATCCTCGCTTCTGTTGTCTTTAGGAAAATACATATTAAATCTGTAGGCAATTTTGGCTTTTTGGAAATTTTTCTCATCTATCTTATCTACCGTCCTCTACAATTCATGGAATGAATACAAGTAGCCACTCCCACATGAAGAACCTTTGACAAAATCCACTCCGATCTCCATAGACAGTCCACATAGACAATTGTACAGAGAGACCACATTAATAAAATGGTTAACTACAGGTTTGGGCATTCTAGAACATATTCACAACTGGGTTTTCAGGCACACTCATCCAGCTTCTTATCTGGTTTCTTCCCTTTTCAGAAACTGTGAAGTTTATTGAGTGGGAGCTTTGTTTCTCCCATGTATTATTGGCTGGGAAAACCAGCGTTCATTATCTTCCTGGTCCTTGCCTTGCTTCTGCCTCCCTTGTCTATGAAAACTGTGTGACATGTCTTCCAGGACAGTCCTATTTTCTCTTCATGGCTTGGCGTACTCTCTTCATGGCTTGGCGTACTCGTCAACAGCTCTTCATCCTGGAAAGCACCTTGGTTTAGATGCTTACTGCAAGGTCAACCAACAACTTATCATTACCAACTCGTAAAGGATGCCATGTTGCAGCTGCCCACTAGGTGGCAGTAGCGTAGCCTGACAAGAATCTTCAGAGCCAGCATTTCATTACAAAAGTCAAATCAAAGCAAATAATTAAGTGTGGTTCAAGAGCTACCTGCAGCTTTGACCGGTTCAAAACAGGTGAGACAGAAGCGAGAGGTGTGGATGATCAGGTACAGTACAGGTGACTCCTTCCTGGGATCTAATAGGCAGGAAGGATTTCCTTCCTTATTAAAGGACTTCAGTGGTTCACGGAATGACTGTCCTTCCCAATTTACACTCACAAGATGAAGCCGGTGCTCAGAGAGGGAGGAAATAGCTTTGAATGAAGAGGGATTTCTCTTCGTAGATGTCTTCAATTCACAATCGGATGAAGGTGTTGCAGGTAGATCTCTTTGGAAGCCTATATTTAATCGAGAAGCCGAGCTGCTGGAACAACAACAGATTTTAAGAAGATTTGAAAGCATGCACCCGCAGAATCATCACACTGGTCTCGTTTGGGAATGATTTTTGGATTGCACGTATATTACCGCTCACCCGGGTAATGCGGCTGGAAACTTGCCCTGCCTCCGACATATGGCACACATCAGCCTCCAGGTGTGTAGTAAGAGACTCACAGGCATGGGTCTTGAAATGCTTATGACTTTTAGTTCTTGGAACTGGTTGCTATGGCTGATGGTCCTTGCAGGTTCGGAAGCATCGTCGTATGTGAATGAATCCTCAAATTCCACTGCCCAGCAGGCACCTGGTGCTCAGTTTGCTGCTTCCAGCTCAGACCCTGATGAAAGGATATCTGTGTTTGAACTGGATTATGACTATGTTCAAATTCCCTATGAGGTCACCCTCTGGATCCTGCTCGCATCTCTTGCAAAGATTGGTAAGTTCTCAAACACATGTTTAAGGGGGGTTGCTTCTTATCTGAGGTATCACATGTGAAAACCTCTTAGACAATGGGTTAAGTGGATATTAACTGTTTCTTGTAGTGCATTAAAATAACACCCCCTGAAATCAAGAGAAAGTAGTGGCTGTTTAATGCTTCAGAATTGAATTTGAAATTTAAATGCATACTTCTACGCTCTTCATTGTTTTGACTTTGTAATTTAAGAACACAACCATGTGACTTACCTGTCTTGTAAAAATCTCATGCTCTATTTTTTTTAATGATACAATGTAGAGTGTGCAGTGCTTGGGAAATGTCAGAGACTGAATAATATTTCTTGGGAAATGTCAGAGACTGAATAATATTTCTTTTTATAAAATGATCTTCCTTCATTCCCAACCACGTATTGTAATTTGTCAGTAGCTTTAGTTATTTATTCTTTCTAAGAGACTCATGTTTCTTGAGAAATGCCAGGACAGCAAGGAGAAAAATAAGCACAGGCAACTCTCACACCCCAGCAATGTGGAGTGGGGTACAGGAGACAATATCTGTGGGTAATGTATGGCTCTCTTCCTAGCTTAAAGGGAGCTGCTTTCCTTTGTCAACAGAAGTGAGCTCAAGTGAATGGATTGAATTCTAGTCCGTTGCTCTTCACCCAAATGCCACAGTTCTATGACTGGCTCACATTCTAAGACCAATGTGCCAGCCCTTCTCTCCTTAAAAACCGCTTATTCTAAAGCAGAAAATCCATACAGTTTTGTCAGTTACTGTGCATATGCCTCCTCTATGATAAACTGTAGATAAATTGAGGGCACAGGCTGTCTTATTGATGTAGAATCTTTCAAACATTTTTATTTTCATATACATACATACATATGTATACACACATGTATATATATGTATGACAGATTTGAAATTTAGATTGAACTAGTTGTAGTCTGTAGTGAATGTTTACTGGCTCTTGTCTGTCTGTGTGTCTCCTTCCTTCCTGTGGGCTAGGGCCCTCTGGTGTACTTAGGTGCCTCTTTAGAGCAATTGTACATATTAAGCTACAAAAGGCTTACAATGGAATGGAAAGGGTTGGCTGGGAGAAAACTCTTGCCGTTTGCTGAATGGCTAGTTTACACAAAACGTGCATCATTTTGAAAGAGTGAGTAAAACTGGCTCTCTAGATGAATACTGTGCTCAGTCCAGGGCAGGCTCTAGAGCCGTTCATTTAGCTAGATGGATAATGGGAATTTTCAAGGTTGTTTTCCCATGACTCTCTTGTGCCATTTGTAAACAATGGGGAGTATTATTTGTCTCCACTTGTCCCTCTCCCTCAACTTTCCTCCCTCTTCTTGGCAACAGCTGAAGTTGGTTCAGGTGCTTAGAACACAGACCTGTAGCTGATTAGCTGGCTCTTTTAGCCACAAATAGAAGCAGAGAAGGGTTCAATATATCTTTTCTTAAACATTTGCATAAGGTGTTGCTTGTTGTTTAGATGTATTGTATGTGCTCAGAATTCACTATCAGGAAATATGAAGAGACTAGGGGGGACATTGTCATTCAAGGGACTCTCAGTTAAATGCTATTAATTTTCATGGTGATATAATTCAGCATGATGTCAGAAAGAAAAAGTACTGTAGTAGGTTATCAGTTAACATACTTACTCAAGGATGAGTTTATAATTGCTAGTCTTCAGGAATCTAGATAAGTCTGTACTCCATAAGCATTAGGGAACTGAAAAGTGGAATATTTACTAAATATGTTATATGCCAAATATTGAGCCCAAAATTCTATATAATATTATGGTTTGCATACTGAGAGAGAAACAGTAATAATAGTAAAGGTGATGATACCTATGGTGGTATCCAAACTTTAACATTTAAGAAATGCCTATGAATGAGTATTCAGATTATAGATTCTGAATAATAACATACTTTTAAGCCTTATTATCACCATCATGTATTAGTTCTCATTCATTTGGGCATATTTGTGGAGTACCCATGTAATGTCTAGAAGCAAAAAGGTTGGAACTTAAGGGACATACTTTCACAGGGATAAGAGGTTAACCTAGAACTCACCGTTGGCACTTTGACAGGAAAATAGCAATATGCTCTCCATCCCCTTTAAATACTTAACTACAAAACGCAGGCATTACAGAACAAAGATAATTAAAGTCGCTCCTTGCTTTGTGAGTTATCTTTTAGTTCCACCCTGCTTCTGGGAGTATTATGGGAACCATTGCTGGAACCGTTTGGAAGAACAGCACTGAAGGTTGTCTTCCATTTCCCAGAACCTAATGGTTCTTTCCATTTCCCTTTGGAGCACTGGAATTATAAAAGGTTAAAGTGACTGACGTGGGAATCCTGCTGTCCTTCATGAAAGGGGACAAATGATTTAAAGTGTAACATGCAGTAAGTGCTTCCGATTGCAATGCCGCAAGGATGTGATCTGTTTCTGCCACAGCTCTGCAGGCCCATCTTGCTTTAAGGCAGGTAAATCCTTTTTTTTCTAAGTACCTCAGTTCAAGGAAATGGAGCCAGAATGGCAAAACAGAGGTTCCGAGAAAACACACAGGCTCTGCCCCTTCCATGGCATAATGTAGAAGTTAAGTTTGATTGAAATAAACACTAACTGAAAGACAAAAATAAGAAAGGTGAAGAGGAAAACAAGGCCAAAAAAGCTGTGATTAAAAAACTGAGAACCCAGGCTTTAGAAGGCCTTGAACTAGTCTTGACACTTGTAAAGTCAAACTGAGAGTATGAGGGATATCCTTTGGTGATAATTATGCTCAACTGTATCAACCTGCACACACACACACACACACACACACACACACTATACACACAGTCACATATATATAGTGGATCAGTTCAAAGCGGTTCTGAGAGAAACCATATCTTCTTTTTATTCAGCTAAATATAAGACTCTCCAAGGAGACACTGACTGGTTCCCCACAGCCCGTGGAAAGGACTCTCTCTGTTAATCAGCACAAAAAAATCTTCCAGCTTTTACTTAATAACCTTCCCAATTCCGACCTTGTTTAAGCCAGGTGACATCTCTCAATGAGAGAGCAAAATGTCTGTTAGGACCATTCCTACCTCATTTTGTTTGATTTTTGTCTTGATGCTGCCTCCCCTGACTTAAAATATTTCTCATTCTATTACATAACTATGCATATCTTCAGCATTTCCCAAGGCACCCAGTTTCTTTCCGTATGAAAGCATATCTGATGACCACTTAGCCCATTCATTCATTCATCGTACAGCTGTTACACAGACTTAGCTGCTGATATTTGTTAAGCAATATAGTGATGTAAATCATCTACTTAAGTCTGGGGGAATTGACAGAGAAGTCATGCACAAAAGTGGGAGATAAGCATCCCTGTTACTAAACTGGCCTTGTAGAGATGAATTGTTTTGATACGACACTAATTTTTGAGGAAGACATATTAATTACTCTTAGCCTCAAATTCTGAGCAGGACCAAAAGTCAAAGGGGAAGGACAATTTACGCAGGGAAAACAGAGCAACAAGACAGGAAAGGGACCTGCTTGCAAAGGATTTTGATTGGCTGTATTGAAGGACTGAAGAACTTGGAGCAGGAGATGTGGCTTGAGGAGCCCCATATGAGCCACTGAGTTTGATGTCTTTTGTATTTATAGGATATTTCATGTACATTTAACTGAAGCCACAAATGTCATGTTATTTCTGTCTTCTCATTTATTCATCTCCTACTTTTAAACTTTGCCAACAGTGGGAAATGCAGTATAATTCACATCTTTGGCTTTCTACCTCATTAAATTCAATAGTGCACTGTTCTTTACACAAGAGTGCTCAATAAACACCTTCAGTTAAAAATTCATGCAGTGCTGAGTGCCTTTCACATCTTAGGTGGAACTGAGGCAGTAAGATACATAGGGTTGGAGAACATAGCTTCTTAAACCATGACTTGTAGAGTGTTGCATCATGAAAAATTTAGCAACAACAATAACAAAGAAGGTTTCTGAAAAATTGGCCAGCCATCGATCCAAAAATCAAGTGTGTAATGAGATCGGGTGTTTCTGTCTGTGCTTGATCATCTTGAATCACTCAACTTCCCTGAAGCCTTGGTTGTGAGCACACAGTGTGTGCAGTTGCTTACACAATGAATGCTGCCTACAATGCTTGGTTCTTAGTTGAGACGGCTGTACTCTGTGAACTAGAGTGTTTGCTTTACACATGAAGGGTTCTGGTCTTATAGAAATGCAATGGCTAGTATAGAAAACAGAGACTTTTGATATTTTTCTGCCTAAACACATTCAGTTCCTCTGGCTGTGAATTGTGTTGTGTTTGAAGGCTTGACTTTAAAATTTCCATTTGAGTTGCTAACATGAATTCTATATATAAAATAAAATTTAAATTCATTTTGGCTTAGGATTAGAGCAAAGTTTACCACAGTTTCTGAAATACCCCTAAACATGCTTATGCCCCTTTGTAGTATGTATCTTATATAAAGTGACATCAGAATTTTTCTTCTCTATTCTTATAGTATTTCTTACATGCATATATAGCATTTTAATCATACTCACGTCACCACTCGCCTCTTCTACCTCTTTCCCAGATACTGCCAAGACTGCTTCCCAGCTTAATGCATTCTTTTCTTTTATTTGATGTTTTTTTTTTTTGATTTTTCGAGACAGGGTTTCTCTGTATTGTTTTGGAGGCTGTCCTGGAACTCTCTCTGTAAATCAGGCTGTCCTCAAACTCACAGAGATCCACCTGCCTCTGCCTACAGAGTGCTGGGATTAAAGGCATGCACCACCAACCCCCGGCTTTTTTTTTTTTTTTGCTTTTTTTTATATATATAAAAAAGGTCTGGGGCCGCCTACTGGAGCTTGGTCAACTCACCAGGGACCACACCCCTCTTCTAGCAGCCATTGATTCTCAATAGCTCCTTAGCTAAGTGCAGGTCTGGTGTGTCCCTTACCCTCCCATTCTAGAATGTTGACTGGTTTGATCTTAGGTGTATCTTGTGCCAGCAAGCATAGTTCCTGTGACTTCACAGGTGCAATGGTGCTGCCAGTAAATGTTTTTTTTTCTGTCTCCCTAGAGGACTTCCTTAGACATGAATAGCATAATACATTTTAGAGGGATGTTTAAGATCCAAACTATAGCAGGAGTTAAAGAGAGTTATGCAACCAATAGCATGAGAAATGTAAGGCCCTGGATGTAGAAATGGGGAGGAAGGGATGGGCTTTAGGCATAGAAAATGAGAATCGTAACTGAGGAAACCTGGGTTGACTACATAATTGGCAAAAGTGACAAGAGTCTTTCTTGAGAACGTGAGCCTATTTTCTTCTTTGATGTGTTCGGTTGGCAACGTTATTAGTTAAGAAGGGGAGACAAAATACAAAAGTTTTATTTCGGTGATGCAGAATAAGCATGGGATAAGAAGAGATCTAGGAGTCTGTCAGATCCCAACTGAGCTATGGGTTTTGCATGTGTGAACTCTTTTCATACTCACTTCTCTTTTCCCTCATGTGCCCTCTGGGAAACGTATCACAATCAGGAAGTAGGGAAGGAGGGGACCTGCAGGCTGTGACTGGTGCTACCGATGGCACACGATCTGTGTGAAACCCTCAAGTTCCTGCAATAGACAGGATGCCCGGCTCAGAGAAACCAGTCCTTCACCTCGCTTCCCATTTTCCTGGCTCTAGACCTAGCCTGGTTCATTGGCAATGATTCCTTCCTTCTCTGTTCCCAGGTTTCCACCTTTACCACAAGCTGCCCCACCTCATGCCAGAGAGCTGCCTCCTCCTCATCGTGGGTGCGCTGGTGGGTAGCATCATCTTTGGCACCCACCACAAATCGCCTCCAGTCATGGATTCAAGCATTTACTTCCTCTATCTCCTTCCACCCATCGTGCTGGAGAGCGGCTACTTCATGCCCACGCGGCCCTTCTTTGAGAACATCGGCTCCATCTTGTGGTGGGCAGGCCTAGGGGCCCTGATCAATGCCTTTGGCATTGGGCTCTCCCTCTACTTCATCTGCCAGATCAAGGCCTTCGGCCTTGGTGACATCAACCTGCTGCAGAACCTGCTGTTTGGTAGCCTGATCTCGGCGGTGGACCCTGTGGCCGTGCTGGCTGTGTTCGAGGAGGCACGTGTGAATGAACAGCTTTACATGATGATCTTCGGGGAGGCCCTGCTCAATGATGGAATCAGTGTGGTGAGTCACCCAGACCTTGTTCGGGGAGGGGTGGGGCTGGAGTGGCCACAGGGGCCAGTGCTGCCTCTGCTCTCCTTGTCATGGCTGTGGCCCGGATTCTGGTGACACTTTGTGTATTAACTTCTTATTAGTTGCTTTGAAGAGAGAAAGGAAATAGAAAACATGCAATTCAGTTTACCTTTCAATTCAAGAATTGTTTTATTTAGAATGGAGAAGTTATTATTTAATAGCCATTCTGTGTATACTTGTTGGCCAAGACCGTACTTTGGTTTCTAACATATGTCTATATGTATATATGCATACACACATATACATATGTATCATGAGACACTAGACGAAATGAAATAAAATTCCTCTGGTTGTTGAGACAGGACAGAGCAGTTACAGGAATAAGTCAGCTTGTGTAGTGCTCAGTCACATGTCATATGAAAAATGGAGTGGGGGCTCTCTGCTTAGGAATTCTCCAGAGAGAAGCCATGGTGGATGAACAGGCTAGAAAGAGCAAGGCTTACCACCAAGCCCCGGAAAATGTTCCCAGCCTGGGTTGCTAGAATATTTGTAACAAGCCAAGCTCAGTGATCAATTTCACTAAAAACTACAGTATTCACCAACTGTTGGCCTGTAAGAAGTTTAGACACACTTTTATGGAATTTTGCTATATAAAATCTATATTCCTGTACATTAGCTATAGTAGAGTATATTTCATTGTAAAAGAATCAAGTAAAACAGAATTATTAGTCATAAACAGGAAGGTTTCACTTGCCTTCTCCCCATTCATTATGTAAAGAGCAAGCCCTTTAACTCATCTGTGCTTTTCTCTCCCAGGCTTCAGGGCGAGCATATGCACATCTGCAGATGCATAGTGTTTTGACAAACACTGAGCGACCACATTACTTGTGTTGCTTAGTTGTAGTCACTTTCGGTCCTTCCATGTCTCATCAGCTGTTGCACAGCATTTTATAGATTAACAATTAATTAACAAAGTTAATTAACACAATTTATTTTACAATTTCCTCTATGGATGGTTATTTCAGTGGTTTTGATTTTTTTTATAAATCATGTTACGATAAAATATGTTGTTTTTTTCTTCCTGGCCCTGTTTTTGCATTTGGGACTGTTTTAAAACAATACTTTATTAGTAATGAAATGTCCAGGTTAAGCAATATATAGATTTAAAACTTGATACATGTGGCTATTTTAATGACTTCCTATTTACCCCATTGGTAAACGAGAGGTTATCACCCTAGGATTGTGGGGATGGGCAAAATTTGATACCTGTATCTTAGTTTCTTTTCCATTACTGTGACAAAACACTAAGACCAAGGCTGGGAATCAAAGACAGTATTTAATTAGGCTTGTGATTTCAGAGGCTTGGAGTATATAATGGCGGAGCAAAGGAAGCTGAGAGCTCACATCTTGATACTCAAGTAGGAGACAGACTATACTGAAAATGGTGCAAGTCTTTTGAGACCCCAGACCCTGAGCCCAGTGACACACTTCCTCCAATAAGAGGGCATCTTTTAATTCTTCCAAGACCATTCCACCAACTGGGGACCAAGCATTTAAACATATGACCCTATGGGGGCCATTCTCAATCAAACCAACACAACCTGAAGCTGTACAGATGTCTCCAACATTAGGTCCTTAGAGAGTATAAACACAACCCAGGGGAGTGGGATATCAAATAACACCTCAAACCATGTGGAATGCTCTAGGAAAAAGAACACTTCAGCAGTGGTTGAAGGGAGCAGGGATGAGATTTAGAGATTGAAGGGAGCAGGGTGGGGGACTGAAGAGGGCAGGCAAGAGGCTGGAGCGACTCTGGTATTCAGAGACGTATCTGAATTGTGTGGAGAAGTTTGCAGATGAGCAATGGTATGCAGGAGTCCTGCCTGGCGGTTTCGCTCAGGAGACTTGTCTGGCTGGGGCTGTTAAATGTGGAGCAATGGGGCTAAGAGGAATTTGCATCTAGACTGGGCACCCTTGATTTTTTTTACAAATGCCAAGGTAACACATGACATTGAACTTGGGTGACCTCAGCAGCCCAGCTTTTCCAGAAAGACTTTATCAGCCTTTGCTTCTACAGATATGGTTGATTTCTTAATTTGCCCAGAACACACGATCTCTTTATCAGGAGCATAATCACATGATAGGCAGAAATTCTTGCTGAGAAATCATCAGAATTCATTACCAAAGCAAGTTCTTGCCTGATGCCGCTGAGTGAGGATCGGGTCTCACCCCGAGGTTTCTTTAACAGTCTGTCCACAGCCAACCTCATCATGGTTTCCGGTGGCAATTCCATCACCAGTGACATTTGTTTGACTTTCTCAAGGCTAAATTGTTTCCATAGAAATGTTTCTGAAGAATGATCATTTCAAAATAAGATTATAATTTCTAAGTAACTATAGTGTCTGCCGAGGGTGATGTTGTGATCTGTTCTGGGCAGCGCTGCCATTGCATTGGCTCCTGTGAGGTTGCCCACATGCTCATCTTTGGTCTCCCACAGCACAGTGAGTATTAAGTGTGTGCTGGGCCACCACTGGGTCCCTAAGTGAAACCAGAGAAGCCCAGGGCCAGATTTAGAAGGCAGCTAAAAGCAACTGCTACTTTCTGTCGTCCAATGATATTTTGAGCTGAGGGCTTTGAGCTCACCCTTTCATTGAGCAAAGAGCCTGCCTGAGGGCAACAGTCACAACCCTGCAGAAGGTTTGAGTCACCCAGAGGTGGCCTGTGGCTGATTGTTACATGTGATGACAGCTCAGATTGTATTTCTAGAACAGTTGAAATATCCATGAATCTGATTCACCAAGAACGAACCACATCAAGGGTTCAGCTTGTGGTTTCCCATTCCTTCCTTCCTTTTGCTGATTTTCAGGTTATGGAATTGATAACTATATGGGACCTTCAGAGCCTGTCAAACAGGGCAGACACAAGCATTTCCAGTACTGCAATCTGCACTGGAGATTTGTGGAGATTTGCTATGAGGGTGGAGAGAGAGAGGGCAGGGGGAGAATGAACCAGTTGCTCTGCAACAATCGTTTTATCAGGATGTGCACATTTAAGTATGATATTATGTGACTTGAATATCTACAGCTTTCTTTTTAAAAATAAAATATATTTCTAATATTACCTAAAAATACCCTAAGGTCACCTACATCCCCAATGGAGTCTCCTGGTTAAGCTTCTAGAAGAAGGCACAGACAGAGCTACTCAGCCAGGACCCATGGTGACCAGTTTTGCATTTACTACTTTATTAAATTCATGGATCTTATTATGAAGCATGAAAGACATCCTCCATTCAAAAATGAAGAAAACCAGATGTAAGAAGTTAAAATCCCTTGGGCTACAGAGCAGACCTAGGTGCCAAGCTCTATTCCTTCCATTCCCTTTCCATTTTCTTACCTTTTGAATTTCCACTTTTGAGCTGCAAGGAGAAGGAGAAAAACCTATCTACTAATGATTGGACTGGGCTCAAGTTCTGTGACCCAGCTGATCTTTCTCTTGTACAGAAATGATGGACTTAGTGATTTTTCACACAAGGCTTTAGGCAAGACTGTTCACTCATGTCTCTTCTTACTGTGGAACTGGGATAAAGGCATTCTTCCACTCACAGGGTTAATGGGAAATTCATATTCTGCTTTAATTACAATAAGCTCCTGAACTGGAAAGGCCACTGAGTGCCTCCTGTCTGTGACTGTCACATCAGATCATGAGCACTCATGGCTCACCATAGCTGGACAGCTGATTATAAATATGCCTCATCCTTTTGGCTGTAGGATAGATGTTTTCCTATCTCCATCTGTCTATCTAGTTGCTATAGATCAACTTGATGGATAAGCAACAAGTAATTCCATTCATGTTTCTATCCACTCACAACATCTCTCCTCATCTCGTACTATTCTGCCTCACATGGAAGGGCGAAGTTCCACAGGACCAGTTCTACACTGGAACCCAGGAAATCTTCATCTGCTTTCTCTGAACCACTTTACCTTACTGTTTTGTCAACTCTAATGATCTTCCACTGACCTTTCCCTGTATTCACATGGCCTGTCTAGGTATATCTCTATGGTATCTTCTAGAAATTCCATGGCGGAAGGAGATGCCCTACGCTTTCCAAGCATTGGTCTTAAGCAATCTCATCAATGAATGCTTTATCAGATTTTCCTATTTATGCCTCATGGGACATCATGAGGCGAATAATATGTCTCACTTTATAAAGTGACAATATACAATAGTTGTGGGTAGGGTTCCTTTAGGCCGGACCATTGAAGTCCATGAATCCTTTGTGGCCATTCTTTTTAAGGTGAGGACCAGGATGACTTAGCAGATTTGTATGTATACTCATTTCTTCATTGCCATTTATGAAATGAAGGCAGACTCCCAATAAAACTGTGCATTTATTAGCTGAGTAGAATCCAGTTTGTGCAGTGTAAAATCCAGAAGACAGAGTGACCATCTTCTTGGTTTGATCAGTCAGCCATTCCCAGTGATGAGATGATCAGTGGAAGTTTGTAGTAGAGACCCTTGACTTCTCCTTCATTTTGCAATTTGATGCTCTTTGTGTACACACTGTAGTGCTAGCACTAGATCATAAATTCCTTGACCTCCCATCTAGAGCTCACTGTTTCCCTTTTGTTCCTCACTTATCCCATAATCCTTTGCTTTGTTGAAGGAATTCCTGGTAGTCCTTTTGATTTCTATTCCAGCTGATTCTTTTGGCATCCATAGAGCCCATCATTTATCTCTGAGCAAGCAAAGGGTCCTCTAGGGTTCATACCTTTAACATTACCACAGGGGAAGAACAGTAACATTCAGTAGGCACTGGTTTTGAATGTGGGCCTTCAGGGGCTGATGTGTTGTGCTATGGTCATGTTTCTGAGCATTGAGCGGTAGCATTGAGCTGCCTTTCCAGTTACCATCCTGTTCACAACAGGAAATTGTTGACGTTCTGCAGTGTGCTGAGATGCTGAGCTGGGCTAAGGGATGGATGAAGTGGATTC